TATGATTAAATTAATAAATAAAAAAATGGAATAAATGAATATTTCTTTCTATTTGACTGTACATTAATGGTCTGTTAAACATTAAATAATTTGATAATATTAGCTAGTGTTACTAATGGCCCAAACTAACATTAACCATGGTAGCAAGTCACTTTATATAGCATATAGGGCAATTAAAAAAAAACCAACAACAACACAGGAGCTAACCAAAAGTGCTTTCATGATTACATAATGAAGAATAAAAAAGCAAATAAGACACCAGCCTTATACTACAGTAATAGTATATACTATGGTATGGTAAAACGCAAGTAAACACAATTTATCAAAAGAAATCAATCAATCAACACTGTCTATCATAAAACACACAACACAGGCTAAGTGTACGGATCCAGGTGGAGCTAAATGACTGACGCGCCGCTAGAGCCAATCAGAACCCTCGCTTCTGCATATTAAACCGTCCATTGTTTCTCTGGCTCTACTGGGTGCCACTGGCAAAACTATTGACCGAGTTTCAGATTACTGGAAAACTGTAGTTTATCTCTACAACTGTATGGTGTAATAGTCCTTTCTTTGTCTTTTTCGATTCTTTGTTTGCTAGCAGCAATAACAGGATAAGCATTTCACTGTTAACTTTTTATTTTTACAAACATTATTAATCAACAGATCAAAATGAGGTATATTCAAATATTAATATATAAAACTAAACGGAAAATATTACTACAAATGATAAATTATATTAATTATCTAAATAACAACAACGACCCATCTCCACCCCTAGATGTGGATCCAACCCCGCCCCCTGGATCTTGTGTTCTGCAGAGAGGGGCTACTGAATTTGTGGGTCATTTTCTGTATTGTCAAGTAGCTTTAAATGACCAGTTGATGCTTTGAGTGTGAAGTGCTGGGTGGGGCTCTGATTACAGGGTTATTTTGTCTGAAAGGCTGAAGTGAAAACAACATGAGGAAAAAAACAACTATCATGAAGGTGGTTTGTCTGAGGAGATCAGTATCTCTCGCTGTCACCCAACCTGTGCAGCGTAAACACGGAAACAGCTACATGAAGACTTTTTCCTCTAAGGTTGATTTCGTTTCGTGAATATTTACAATAATAACATAGGTACAAACAAAATGCCAGAATGTTTTGAGCTTCGCCTTGTGATTTATCTGACAACATGACCTGTTTTATCAGACGCTGAAGGCCCTTTGCCAACTAAAAATCAAATGCAACATAAAATATAAGAATGAAATTGAATGGAAAATCTGCCAGGTCGACTGGGAATGATATCGACTATATTGATGATGGTATCAGCCAGTGAGAGATTAAACAATGAAGTGTTTCCCGATAAGTCTAGAGAATTTATGACTATAGTAACTAAAGTCAGTAAGCCCGTTTAATATTTTACGGTGTTAATGATAATTTCAGACTCAATCTGGATTCATTCTAGATTTACACTCATTTAGTCTTTTTGGGTTCTCTTACGCTGAATCACTCTTGCTGTTGGTCTTTGGTCTTTACCTCCTTCCCAAAAAAACTACCTACCTAGTGCCTAATCAGTTCTACCTAAAAATCTTCTATTCATTTTATTCACTGGAGTTTAAAAATATTCAATAAAAAGTTTTAAGTTCCATAAATGGTCACCTTTTCACTTCAAAGGATGTTAATTTATGGATTGGAGTGGTGTGGATTACTTGTGGATTATTGTGATGTTTTTATCAGCTGGTTGGACTCTCATTCTGACGGCACCCATTCACTGCAAGGGATCCATTGGTGAGCACGTGATGTAATGCTAAATTTCTCCAAATCTGTTCTTATGAAGAAACAAACTCATCTACATTTTGAAAGGCCCGAGGGTGCATTCAAATTTTCATTTATGGGTGAACTATTCCTTTAAAAAAATAAATTTCTTTGTGGATAAAATGAAAGGGATTTTTATTTCTGCAATGCTACTGTTGCAATCTATGCTCATAATAACCAAATTATACATGACATCACATACCTTCCAGACATGTCTGATGGGATCATCTATTTGCAGCTGTTCAGAAACGTCACAGTCGCAGAACTTTATGCTGAGAAGTAAATGACTATACCTGTATGAGCTTGTTCTGTGAGACAAAAGCAACCATCAGGTTATGTTCTACCTCATGCTACAGGTATTAGAGTGCCGTCTCATCTCTAAAAAACAAGACAAACTGGAAATTACAGGCCCATAAAATAAAAAAACTACAGCTGAGAATCGCAGCTTTTCCAGCTTTTCTCTCTGTTTAGTCTATAATTCACACCATTTCCTCTAGAACCACATACCAGCACAGGAAGACAATGAAGTAGTGCTGAAATGCGTAGTGAGCTGGAAAATATTTCACAGGAATGCGGAGGAAAAATGTATTCACACATAAGAATGAGGTCTTCCGTTTAACTGACTGACAATATAACCTTGAAATGGACAAACCTTTGCTCAAAAGACAAATATTGTTTTTCATACAGTGGTGCATGAAAAAACACTGAAACTATGAATGCAATTAGAAGCACCTGCATGTGTAAAAACGTCTCTCGTTTTAGTTTTGTTGACTTTCAGACGGGTAAAAGGTAGAGCAGGTGTGTAGAACAGCACATTTCATCAGCCTATCGTGACGTTCATCAACCTATTTAGCACGTCAGTAACTGCATAGGAATGAATCGAATGTGAAGAACGGTATCAAAATGCATGGAATTCTCAATACAAAAACGACATCTTACAGACATAAAAAAGTCTATAGAAAAGGATTTCTGTATATGTTCTCCTCACACTAGTCTCCCTAAGTAGATGGCCTTCGGGTATTTGTCTTTCAGTGATGTCCACTGCACAAAGAAGTAGTCAGAAAAGTAATAGAGGATCTTCCCGGATAGAGACAGTGTCTCCACACGACAGATGCTTTCCACATAGACGATCAAGACTCTTTTTAGTCCCAGGACACCCAGGAGCAGCCCAGCGGCACACAGTGGGACGCACGTCCCTGGACCATTACACAGCACCTGAAACACAAACACACACACACGCTTAAAGATATAAACAAAAACATCACTTTACATTTCAAAATTCAATTAATTAACATTATAATTGAGGCATCATCAACTAACAGTGAACAAGGTTTTTTTTTTTTTTTTACAGCAATTGTTAATCCAGGTTTATGTTAATTTATAAATATACACTATTGCCTATTGCTCATTAATTAATTAATTAATGTTTGTTTACAATACATTGGCTAATGTTAATTTATATAATACATTTTAATGCTGTAAAAGTATTGTTCAGTATTAGTTCATAATACCTAATGCATTAACTAATGTTAACAAATTGAACCTTACTTTAAAATCCCCAAAAGTAATATTGTAAAATAAAAACAATCAAGTTGTCCCAATTAAAAGATAATACTTATAATCATTACTCAAATATAAGTTTGAAAGAAATTAATACTTGTATTCAGAAAGGACGCATTAAATTGACTTCTGAAAAAATGTATTATGGTTTCCACAGAAGCATGCAACAGCTTTCAACATTGATAATGATACAAATGATAATAGTTATTGAGCAGCAAATGAGCAGAAAATTCAGCTTTGCATCACAGAAATAAATTATGTTTTAAAATATATTCAAATAGAAACTTTGAATATATTTGAATAGTTATTTCAAATAGTAATAATAATTTTACAAAAGTACAATTTTTGATCAAATAAATGCAGCCTTGGTGAGCGTAAGAGACTTCTAACAAAAACATAAAAATGGCTTCAAAATCTATAAAGATTTTAATAGTAAATAAATAAGAAAAAAAAACAGTAATTTTTCTTATTTTAAATTAATCTCACTTTTACCTTATAATACAAATTTTAATTTAATTCTAAGCTAATTCAATTTAAATTGAATTAAATTAAATTAAAATTTGTATTATAAGGTAAAAGTGAGAACTTTTACCTTATAATAAAAATTTTAATTTAATTCTAAGCTAATTCAATTTAAACTATTACGAAGATTTAGGTATTTTAATTACAAATCCATGTTTAGTCAACTTGCAACAAGTTATCTTTCAACAAGTTCACTCTCTGAGTGAACATCAAGTGAATTTGCTGACACACACTCTGGGAAACACCATTAATTAATTCAGGGGATTTACAATTTTCTGTAAAGCTGCTTTTGGATTGTAAAAGTGCTATACAAACTAAAAATTAATTGATTTGACTTATATAGACTAAGACACAACAGCAGAAAGAAGTCAGCATAAAGTACAGAGTCCTCGGAGTTGGAGAAATATGAGCTTTCTGGTTCAAAACTGGAGACAGCGAGCGGCACAGGAAGGCGGTCAGACTTCGGTGGAGACGAGCCATGGGGTCTGGAGAAATCATCTTACACCGACTGCTCAGACACATTAACACTGGAAAAATCCAGCCTCTGTCTGCTCAGAGCTGAAACCGATACGAGGCAGGAACCGAGGACAACGGCCAACGTGAGAACATCAGAGGTGAGGGACGTTTCCACTCACATATGCTTCAGTTCATTTCTGTCTGCTTCAAGGCCCACCGGTGCTCGGATTTAGTTTATTGCCAGTTTCCAAACAGTTTAAGACACTCCATTTCCCATCCTGCACCTGGAAGCAGATGAGCGATGGGGATGGGCAGGGATGGACCACCAGGTGGGCGATCTGTCTCGGCCTGTATTTACATTTCACACACACCTGCGAGTTCACTTCGGGGAATGAGATCAATGTCACCCAACAGAGAGATGCTGACTTCAGCTCTGAAGGGCTGCTGGATTGTGTACAGAGATCGGCCAGCGTTTGCTATGGACACAGGCCAAGCTGTCAGAGTGCTATTTGAGTCTGTCATCAGTGTGGTGCAAATTGAAATGGCCATTGTGTGAAACTTCAACACGACATAAATCAAGTGTTAGAAAAACACCATTTTGGGGCTGTCGGATCAGTGGGGTGCTGAATGTGCATCAAAGAAAACAGCTTGTTTTTCTCAAGGCTCTTTTTGTGTATTAAGGAGAAGAAAGACTGATAGTGAAAACTGGATATGAGGCGCTCTCTTTTTAGCCTCTTCTGCAATTTCTCAAACACTTGGCATTAGCAATCATGAATGTGTGTAAAAACTACAACACGTCAGCTAAATACTGTTCCACGAAGTTTGTCTTCATTAAAAAAATAAATCTGAACGAACATAGCAATAGCTGCATTAATAGTGCAATCCATTAAAAAAATTGACTATTTTAATTATCTCCAAAAGTCAGTGCAGAAAATAGGAAAGAAGCTAACAGACAAGGTCTTGCAATAATTTTCATATGGCATACTGAAACTTTTTTTCATAACAATAACTTTTTTCATACAGTGTCTTTGCAAAGCTTAAGATCTAAAATTTGTAAAGTACATAACTTAAATATATTAAGATTTTTGTAAGATGCATTAAGTCTATAAAATATAACCTAAGGTATAAAATATATCGATACATTTTGTAAATAAATAAAGCATCTTTCTAAAGCTCAAGGTGTAAAATTTGTTATACTTTTTGGATGAACTATTCCTTTAAAATATATATATATATATATATATATATATTTCTCTTTATAGTATACAAGCAAAATAAAATTTTGCATCACATACAAATGATACAAAAAAAATGACCAACATATTTATCTTAATATATCTTTATATATTGAACCTTTCCAAAGATCAAGGTCTAATATTGATACATTTTGGTATCAACAAAATAAATAATACAATATAAAATAAATAAAATATAATTAACTTATGTAGCATCTTTCCAGCGTAATATACAGTAATATTATAAATATTTCAAATTGCAATAATATAAATTATGGAAATTATATTATATTTTTATATATACGTGGGATAATGTGGCTAAAATAAAATAAAATATAAAATAAAATCTACTTGCATGAGCCAGGGCCAACATTAAGAGCCCTAAAATGATTTTCAATCGCGTTTACAACCAAAACCGCTAGTCCAACCCTTTCCACTGCACCACATAAACACAGTGCTCAGCTGTGAGTCACACAAGCAAAGCGAAGATCTCATCAATATCTGTTTATGGCCAGTGCATGTTAAACTGCTGCTTATCTAAAGCCAGTGGGGATTATACACTATGCTGAAACATTTTCATAAATCAAAGGCCTTATGGGGTCATTGTTCCTGTGATGACATCACTGTGAGACATGTCCGTGTCACAGCTGCACTCACAGGTGAGGACGTGTACAGGTGCTGAGATGTAATCACTAATGAGGTCATCGGAACTACTAATGATCTCTATCCTGTGAGGCCACTTTATTACCCCACATCATACAGAGCAGCTCCAGGTGAGATTAAACTGTTACCAGGCTTTGTTACTTCCCTTCTCAGGCTTCAGATGAGTCAGCACAGACCAGACTGCAGGTGTCAGGTGTAAATGACAGACAAGTTCATTCTGAGTTTTGTTAAACAGTAACAGAGTAAAAGGTTGTCTATACAGTGTATTATGAGTAGCAACACAACATAAACACCCGATGAGGACTGTTATTTTGCCAGTCTGTGCCTTCTACTGCAAGAATGGCAGCATCTTATGTTTTTCACATTTTTTATCGTATATTGAGTTTGTGATTAAGATTATGCACTGATGTACATTACATATATATATATATATATAAACATTTATTTATTATTAATTATTATAAAAAAGAATATTTAAAAAATTAAAAAATAAATATACTAAATATTACAAATATTTATTACACACACACATAGATAAAACATTTATTTATTATGTATTATTATAAAAATAATGTAAAACATTTAAATATACTACAGTATATATTACAAATATGCATTACATTATATATTTTTGGTAAGTTCTATAAAATAAATAATACATTATTAAATTATATACATATTTTAAAATACTGTATATTACATATAAATTACAAACTGTATAACACATTTTAGATTATTTATGATTATAAAATAATAAATAAATAAATACATATATAGATATATACATGCATACAGTATGTTTGCACGTGTTTAATTTCCATTTGTTTATTTATTTACTTCTATTATTTATAGAATGAAGTTGTAATTTTAATAAACTGTATTGTGTTGTATCTAGCATGCCCTTTTGTACATTATTGCTTATATTACATTTTCCACGTTATTATGGTTTGACATTAGATTTGTGATTAGGATTACACACTAACTGCTTGTTTATGAACATTATTTCTCTACATGCATATCCTAACATGCAGATCTTGTTTTATGATCTATCCATCACTAACTATCAAACATATGGATGAACATTAAATAAATAAAACACACAGAGCTTCGTCCACTGCATTTCCAAATAAGGCTAAAATGAAACATATGGAGATGCAGTCAAACAAAAAACTCTCTCTGTGTAAAAAAAAAGTCTCTGTGGAATGTGAAGGGACGTCCACCACACAAACGTCCAGCCCCCGTTATTTGTTATTGTAAACCGTAACAACCTCCTCCCCCACACACAAAATCTATGGAGCACAGATTCTTCGAATTGTTTTCCCGTATTCTTTCACATTTTGGATTCGCGTCACAGCTAGACTCCCTTACGAAACTGAATGCATTTCTCAAACAATCTGATTGCGTAAGGTGAATTTCTGTGCAGAATAGTTTGTTTTATCGAGATATCTCAAAACAAATTAAGTATCAATTCAAGTGTAAACTTGTCAAAGTGAGTCTAAGAGGGAGGAGGCGGCATTAAAGAAAATAAATGGGAGAAATCGTAACACTCAATATACACTGGGAAAAAAATTAAATAAATGTATCCATTAATTTTAAGGACATTTCTGGTTAACCCTATAAAGCAATGCCCCCCATTTCCCCCAATTGCGCTCTGGTATGTGGAGGAACGGGCCCCAGCCCTTCACTGACATGCTCAAGTTTGGTTAAAACAAACAGCTGATATTTGAGTCATGCTGAAGGACGATCCCTCACCGCGCAGACACAATAGGGGTGCCGTACCACCTAAAGAACATCTTAGACATTGTCTGCTGGACTAAAAAGGAAATCCTGCTGTCGCAGTGCAACGGCGGATCAAAGGCCACCTGGTACTTATATTGTAATTTCACATTCCAAATAAACAATAAAACTTAAACAAAAAAATATCTTAAACATGCATTATATATTATAACAAATATATGCAGGTGAATCTCACCAAAAAAAATAAAAAGTCATATTGTATTTATCTTTGAGGTGGCATTTAGCAGATTTTGCATATATATATAATTAAAAAAAATAATAATTTTATTATAGATTTTTTTAATTATTATTTAAATTAAAATAATTGTTTATAATAATAATTGTGTCCAGAAAAGGTGATTATATAGTATATAACAATAATGAGAAATGAGCTAACAGCAACAGTCTTGTTAACTAAAAAAAAATACAAATTGTTTTGATAATTGAAATAAGCTGAAATTAAATACAATATAAATATTAGATGAACACCTACATGAAAATGAGAAATGTGGCCTTGGCAGATTAAGTTGAAGTACTAAAATTACTAAAATATAAATTGAAATAAAAACAAATTAAAGCTAAATAAAAATATAAAAACTAATAAAAATTACAGAGTAAAATTAGTAATATTAGTACCAAATTAAAAAAAATACCGAAATTAATAGATAAAAGCTTTATATATAGAAATATAAAGATAAAAGCTAATTCAATATATGAATAAATACTATAAATCATTCTAAAATAACACTACAATGAATGTCACAGTGCAAAAAAACAAACAAACTTAAAGACATAAAATATATAAAATTAATAGTATACATTTATACTCACACACACACAAAAAAATACATTAATACATTACATTATAAAAAGATTTTATAATCAAGCAGTACATATATGATAATATAATTAATTTAAATAAATACTTTTTTTAATTATTTCCATTTTTCGTTTGAATTTAAGGCAAAATATAACATTTCTTTCTGAGATGAAGTAAGTTTATCTAAACTCTTTTACCATGAAACTAACGTGAAAACAGATGCAAGTAAAATAAAAAAAAAGACCCATTAAATGAATTCGGCTGACTGGAAAAGTGGGAAGTGACATCAGCATGAGGACAGAAGCCGCTAATTAGAGATTAACAGAATACTAGCGTGGTCGTCCGTCAGAGATTAGACTGGTTTGTTCTGACCTTTGAGCTCTACTGCTCAAGCACTGCAGCGCCGGCTGCTTAGTCACACTCCGCCTCCTCTCAGCCGGTTGCCACGGTAACGCAGAAACTCGATGCTGCTTGGCTCCGCCCCCACAGGGACATGTGAGAGGAGTCAAGCAGCTGGGCCGATGAGCCGGTCAGGTCTCGCCACATCCTGAGAACAAGACCCCTCGGCTGCTCTGCTCACAACCCTTCATTACACAACCACAGGAGGAGAGAGAGAGAGAGAGAGAGAAAGAGGCCCCGAATTGCAGATCATTCCTGAAAAGGGCTTAAACGCTGCCCATCCCGCTCTCTTTTCCCAAATCAACCCCCTACCTCGCTTCTTTATCTGTCTTTGAGAGTTTTCCCAGCGATTCTCTCTCTCTCTGTTTCTTGCTGAAGACAAGCAGAGAAACAGCAGGATTAGTGTTTGCTTATACAGCAGATAGTCTTATCATCTGCTGAAGGAAAAATACGTCTTTATCACCTGCTTAAACATTCCCAGTGCTGCTGTGTGACAACAACTACTGATTTTGTGTTAGGCAGGGAGAGTTCACACAAAACTGACCATTCTGCCATCATTTACTCAACCTCATGTTGTTATAAACCTGTATAAAAAGAAGATATTTTGAATTTTATTTTGTGACTTGAAATAAATGTTAACTGAAGAAAAATGTAAATGTATTTTATTTCAGGTAGTGGCCAAGGCAACATTTTTCATTTTCTTTTAGTGTAACTTTACACTGCCGTTCAAAAGTTTGGGATCAGGAAGATTTTTATTACTTTTTACTTCATTTGATAAAAAATACAGAAAAAACAACAATATTATGAAATATTATTACAATTTAAAATAACAGTGTTCTACTTTAATATAATTTAAAATGTAATTTATTCCTGTGATCAAAGCTGAATTTTCAGCATCATTACTCCAGTCTTCAGTGTCACATGATCCTTCAGAAATCATTCTAATATGACGATTTATTATCAATGTTGGAAACCGTTTTTGCGGCTTAATATTTTTTGGAACCTGTGATACCTTTTTCGGGATTCTTTGATGAATAAAAAGTTCAAAAAATAATTTATTCAAAATAGAAATCTTTTCTAACAACATAAATCTTTACTGTCACTTTATATCAATTTAACACACCTTTGCTGAATAAAAGTATTAAAAAAAAGTATAAGAAAAAAAAAATCTGCTGACTCCAAACTTTTGAACGGTAGTGTATATTGTTACAAAAGATTTCTATTTTCTAACATCGCTAAAAAAATCAGATATTAGAATGATTTCTGAAGGATCATGTGACACTGAAGACTGGAGTAATGACGCTGAAAATTCAGCTTTGCAACGCAGAAATAAATTATATTTTAAAGCATATTAAAATAGAAAACAGTTATTTTAAATTGCAATATTATTTCACAATTTTACTGTTTTTTCTGTATTTTTGATCAAATAAATGCAGCCATTTATTCGCAATAAAACCAGAAATGCAATATGAACGTACTGTCAGTTTCCATTTCATGCAGACTTTTTGGGTAATCTGACAATGTTTTAGCTATCAATGCTACCAATAAGATTGCATTAAACACATTCTACCATATTTAAATTCATTCCAAAGATTTTCCCGCCACAATCAGCATAGAAATTGGAAAACAAAAAAGCTGACTTAAAAACGTAAAACTGTACTTTTCTGGCCAAATCTTTAGGAAAACTACAGAATTTGGACTAGATTTTGCAGATGATCTGAACTATAAATAATAGAGGGTGGATATATTTATAAAAAGCTATGTTTTCCAAAACAGTGCACGGGATGTTTAAATTCTCAAGGTTATGGACTGGGCAGAAGACGCTACAATGCTAATCTGAAGGACACATTGTTACAGAGATTTACTTTAGAGGCACATTAAAGAATGATTAATAATATGGTCCATTAATAACACAATCTAATACATTACTTGAGCTGAATAATGACACTATTGTAGAGCTGCCCAGAGATAAATTGAACTTGTTTAATTATTGAACTGAATTGAAATGGAAACTATTGAGCTAAATAATAACACTACAGTCTTTATTGTACTGTATTGCACACTGTATTAAAGTGCTAGAAAAATAAATGTGACTTGACTACTTAACATTTTCGAATTCGATAATGCAAACTAATATTCATCACATCCAAGTATGTTTGCATACTGTATATTTAAATTTAAATAAAATGCTCTTTATACTCAAAATAGAGCTGGGTTGCCCTTAGGCATAATTTCATAAATATGTTATGAATGTGCTATTTCTAGAAGGGCGTTACACAAACAGCCTGCAGAACAGAGGAAATTAATTCTTAATCATGATGGGAGAATGAATGAGAGGAGAGAGAACCCACTATATCCGGCTGAAGCCTAAAGACCAGCGGGACGGACGAAATCAGAGTGCTGAGGGAACTCAAAACAGAGGAACTCCACGACTGACGCACCTCCCGACTGCGAGGAATCCGGTGAATAGTGAACTGTGATTAAAAAAAGAGAGGAAAACATATAATGATTGAGGTAATATCTATCATTTCAAATCCACAGTTCAAATGCTTGGAAAAAACCCCCCAAAGGATCTGCTGCCATCTCCTGGTTAAAGTAAGACACAACACCAATCAGAATTTCACACTTTTATGATCACAGAAGAAAGAAAATCATGTGGGTTTGGAATGAGGACAGAATTGTAATTTTTGGGTGAGCTATTCCTTTAATGGTGCACAGATATATTCAATATAGATCAATCACCTGAGAGGGTGAACCGCTTTTCTCCTGCTCTGCTTCAAATGTTCGGATCTTCTCTTCACTCATTTTATCGGTGTCTGCGATCACATAGTGTCGAGGGTTATAAGACTGAGATAAACTCCCCATCAAACGGACAATTTCTGTTGTGTGTCCTCCTAGGTGAAACAGAAAATAAACATTTCAAATTAATAATAATTGCCATTTATCAATACTTAAATTATAATAACAATTGTATTTATTATTATTATTAGGGCTGCACGATTATGACAAAAATTATAATCGTCGATTATTCCCTTGAAATTGTAATTGCGATTATTAATTACGATTATCACAATTTACATTGAATGATGTTTATACCATTGCTTGATGCAACTGCATGCCGTATTTTTATATGAAAATAAACAAGCTGAAAAACCTTTAGTGCTTTTTTATAGTATTAAAGGCAGAGTAAGTGATTTCTGGTAGCCAATGTTGATATTTGAAATCACCAAAACAAACACGCTCCTACCCCAAAAGGGTCTTGCCCCTATTTTGATAGCTCCGCCCCACATATACGTAGCAACCCAGGCAACGATTAGTTCTGTGAAACAAAGCAAAACCATTGGATTGGTTTCTTCTTTAAATTATAAAAAAAGTAAAAATATGAATGTTTATAATGTTATACTAAAACTAAAATTAAAATAATGGGAAAAACCCTTAAGATAACATGTAGAAAGAAAAAAAACACATCTTAAGTGTGCAGAATAACATAAGTGGACTTTGAACGATTAATTGCCGCTTTGAACGAATACGTAATTGTGGCATCCATAATTGTAATCGCGATTAGAAAGTCGATTAACTGTGCAGCCCTAATTATTATTATTATGTAAATATTGCTATTTGGCAAATAAAATGGGTATGAGCTTATTATCAACATCAAAATATTATGTTAAATCATATATAAGTAAAAGCGAAAGGATATCTACTTTTTACATATTGTGGTGGTCACTATTTCTTTCAGCAATTCTAAGTTAATCACATTATAATCTAAATCCAATCACATCTAAATCACATTAATTGTTTGCTTTGTGTTCAGCAATAAAAAAAAAGAAAAATAAATTTTTATTCAGTATTAAAGTATAAAAAAATAAATAAAATATACAAAACATGTATCATTTGGTTTCAGGTTATTTTTCCATATAAAAAAACATGCTTATATACACTATAATATATTATATAAAATGCTATTCTTACCTGATCCTGCAACCACCAGCAGTGACACAGAACCCTTCTGTCCTGGTTTATATTCAGATGCATGTCGTAAAATCCCAAATAATCGTAAAATGAACTGTTATTAATACTACAGCAGCGAGAACGACTCCACTCACCACAACATACAGTAATGCCATTAGTTACCAAACTAAACGCTATCAAAAGTTTTAAGAATCAAATCTCAAAACGTTAGCAGTCAAAAACGAACACATTGATAATTTAAACTACTTTATAAACTAAAACTGTAATCAATGCTGTATTTTTGAGGATGGAATCATCAGTACGCGTACAGCTGCTACGGAAAGTCATAAAGGACACATTTTTGATCACACTTTTACTCGGAAGTTTAGAAACAGCGACATCTACTGGCAGCTTTTAAAAGTGAAGGAACCTAATCAGAACGTGTTTTTTTTTTAACACAATACAGTTCACTTTCAGCGCACTCCAATAGTGGGGCATGTTGTCACACAATATGGGGTAAGTTGTCACAGTGGAGCCTTACTCAGTTTTCAGTTTTCATTCTTTAAACAGTTATGAAACACACACATACACAAAGATCAATCAACATAATAAAATATAAATCCACAAATATTATAGTTAATAAAATATTTACACTTGCCCCAGTACATGTGACAACTTAAAAAGTGTTTACACTTTAAACACATTCATTCAAGAAGATGGTATAATTATGACGCCTAGCATTTATGCGACTACACTTAAACTAATATCCTATGATGTGAATTTGAATGGCATTTCCTGAATTCAGAACTAAACATAAACAACATGCTGCTCAGAATCTTTCCGATGAATGCATTTATTTAAAGTTCTCTAATGTTCTATGGGAAGTTCTCGTGTTTGTTGTCTCATGGAAACGGCCCTCAGTTGTTTTGTCTATGGAGCTCCGGTGGAAGTGCTGCACTTACGCTCAATTTGCCCACTTGAATGTCTTGTAAACTGGCAGACAGACATTAAATATGATTTAGACTCATTGTCACAAGCTCATTTGTTCATTCCAGCCGAGTTTACGGTCTATTCTGCCACTTCTGATCGCAAACTTTCTTGCTAAAACACCATGTATTTGTCATGATGAGTTTATATTATGTAATAGTAATGGCTCTTTTTGGCTGCATTATTGTAATTAGAGGAGACACTAAAACCTTTCACATCAGCTCACACACTGACCACCCGCAGCTGTGACTCCATTTATATAGAGAACATTGTCAATTACCATCTGATACTGCATTCAACAACTGCTCTCAAGATCAAATCTCTCTTTTTTTCCAGTCTCTTCAAGTTTGCATGGTTTGTGCTGGTTTGATGGGCTGTACGTGGCTCAGAGGAAGAGGATGGGTACTCTCCGGACCAGGGCCAGGAAAGTTTCCTGGATATAAATCAATAAACAATAATAGTATTTTTTATTTAACAATAAGTACAATAAATTTAATTCACAAATGAATATATTACTGTGTTCTCTTGTTCACTCAATATATATGATGATTTTGGAATTTAAGTTTGAAGGATACAAAAAAAAATTATATTACACTAATATTCTGATAATATTGACTAATATTGTTTCATATTATTATATATTATTATTAATATAATAAATAAATGCATGAATGGATAAGTTATTGTGTTCCCTTGTTCACCAAATATATCTCATGATATTGAAATGTAAGCTTGAAGTATACAAAAAAATTCTATAATTATAATGATGATGATGATGATGATTAATAAGAACAGTACACCCAAATTCCACAAGGTTTTTCAATCACAATGGGTCACAATTGGTCTAACTTGACTGGGCCAGCAGATATTTGGCTCAAAAGGAAATGTTTTTGGATTGAACTGCCTACGGCCTGTTTAGAGAATCGGTCATGCTCCGATTAATAACTCTGTTGTGATGTAGGTTAGAACTTCAGTCATCAGCTCTCAAACTTTATTTATCTAATGCCTTATCAGAGTACAGCGAGATTCCCAGCAACGCAGCCAATTTGGCTTTTTAAAAAGGTTCATTCACAGGGCATGAGGTATGTTTGCCTGCAATAATTCTTTAAATGTACCACAAGGGGACAGACTGCACAGGGCATTGTGGTTCAAATTCCACAACACAAGCCCTTGGACGAAAATAGAGTCTGATGATAATTAGTGTGAACATGCGCTGCTTTGATGTTAAAGATCTCCTATCTCAACTTCTTCTCTTCCACCCACCAGAACATCTTTTACAAGATTTCCATGCCCATGTTTAAAATTTCTCATGTCAATAACACAAGAATTTACAAGCTGCTTGTGTAGAGACTCTGACCTTTGCACCACATTCCAGACTATTACTGAGGACATATTACAACTTCCTTCGCATACAACCGGATATGAAGGCTGACCATTTCACACTGAAGTCACTGACTTCATTTCTCACTGATTTCAGACAATCATTTCTCCGTAACAACCTCTTCCCTCTGTCCAGCAGCAGCTTTTTTTAACTATTAAAGGGATAGTTCAGCCAAAATGAAAAATCCTTCATTTATTAACCCTCAAGTTGTTCTAAACCTATAGAAGTTTCTTTATCTGTGGGACATAAAATAATATATTTTGAAGAATGTTGGTAACTAAACAGTTGATGGTCCCCATTGACTTCCATAGTATTTTTTCCATTCTATGGAAGTCAAAGGGGGCCGTCAACGGCTTTCAAAAACTTATAACCAATACTTTAAAGTACAGTATGTGAAGAAGAGAACACAGGAGTCTCAAACTTCACTTGAATAGAGTTTACTGAAAGCGCAGGGTACATACAACTCAGGAGCAAAATCAAACAACTAGTAACAAAGTTGACCGGACCAGGAATGGAGGAACAAACAGGAACTAATATACATATGATAATTAACAAAACAGGTGCATAGAATAATCAATCAACTCAACAATAACAGGAAAACGACCAAAAAAGGAAACTCAGGAACAAGGACAGGGGTAAAACACGGAAAAACAAGTCCACAACACTGACAGGTCTCTCTTCTCAAATATTAAATGAACACATTTTATTTACAAAAGTTGTGATTATTTAATTTTTCAAGTGTAATTTAAGACTCCAATATGAATGTGCTGAGACAGAATGGCAGATCAAACACTAAACCAAACTAGTTTGTCTGGATTAAGACATGCCAAGAGTCCTGTTGCAGGTTGCCTTTCTATTTGCACAAAGCTCCTGTTGTATGTGGATCTGGCAAAAGCACCACAGGGTGTATCCAGGCCTTGGGGAGCACTCAGAAATAATCTACAGTTTCAGCAGTGAAAGGAGAGGATCAGGGGTCTTAATGCTGTTATTGACGCACTTTACTAAGCAAAGCACAATCAACTTTTTTTTTGTTTTTTTTTGCATGTGTAAACATGGACAAGTTTTAATATGGCTAGTTACATAGTGAGTCAATCATTCCCTAGAAAAGTTTTTGGCAACTTCCTTGCTTATTTGTTTCGGCTTTGTTCATGTGACTGTTGGTTTGACTAGTAGGTTGGATGGAGCAACTTTCAGGTTGACACACATGTCTGCTGTGAGACAGGGCTGACTGATGTATCACACTGATAAGTATCATGCCCGGCCTAGTCCCACGCTTCTGTCGTAAATCCTTTTAAGGCATTTAGTTGTGCTTTAATGGATGTGGGGTTGGTAGGTCACGGTCACCCACCAATGATGTGGGCTTAGTGATTAGGATCATTGCTGAAAGATCTTGTAAACTAGTTTGATGCATTTTGAAAACCCCCGATTTTGTTTAATTTGTTACTAAGCAAACTAAAAACGAATAGGAAATGGTTTTCTGACATAGCAAATCGGAGCTCATTGGCTTAGAACAACTGTTTTATTTAGTTCTTGTCGAAAAATTGAGTTCTTTATTGAGTTCTCTGAGTTCTACAAGAGTCATTTGTTCGTGAATTGGGCTACATGCTGTATGTTTTTGATTTCCTGAAAGAACCACCTCATGAGAGTCATTTGTTCGAGAATCGCAGTACACCGGTCACGCTGCATGTTTTTGATTCACTAAAAGAACCGGCTCATAATCATTTGTTCTTAAATCAGACTACAGTAATCAGGCTGTATATTTTTTATCCACCAAAAGAACCGCCTCGTAAGATGTGCGGTGTAGATGTGCGGTGTAAACCAGTTCTGTAATATTGTCTTTTTTGCAGCTGTAAAACCAGCAAAAAACATTCGGTCCCACTTTATATTAAGTGGCCTTTACTATGTACTTACATTTAAATTAATCATTTGGTACAATGCACTTATTGTGTACATACATGTTTTTATATTGTACTTAGCCTATATTTAAAAAAATACCTGCATGTAATTACATCTGTAATTAATTTCTGTAACTACATTTATAATTACACTGTTGACCCATCCCTTACACCTTAACCCACCCTTAAACCTACCCATACCACCAAACCTGTCCCTAACCTCACCCGTATCCCACCTCAATAGCAGCAAAAGTGTTTTGCAATACAATATGAACACAATAAGTACATTGTACTTATTTTTTGATGTAAGTACATAGTAGTTAAGGCCACTTAATATAAAGTGGGACCCAACATTCTTTTTTGTATTGAGCTTAAACAGAATCCAGAATCATCATTAAGAAGACATAAACTTGGCTTAACCATGTATTCAATTTGTAGTAAAGAGGGTAAAACAAAGTTTACATGTCCACAGATTATTGACAATAGGACACTCCCAAAACATATGAAGAAAAGTACCTGATTACGCAGTACCTATTACAGATATGGCAGTTGTAATTTGGTTGTAGTTTCATTTTGAATCTTTTGTAAGGAGTTATATGCTCTATGAATAACTTTGAAATGTATAAAACGATGAGCCAAGTTTTTAGCGGTTAAACTGAGGTTAGACCACACCCTCTTCGCTGTATGGCTTTAATTTACCAAAAAATAACAGGTTTTTGATTCACACAAAAAAAGAAAAGAAAAAAAAAAGCGTCTCGTAAGAGTCATTATTTCGTGAATTGGACTACACTGTTCGCGCTGTAGGCCTATGTTTTTGATTCTCCAAAAAGAACTGCTTTATAAGAGTCGTTGTTTGAGAATCGAACAACAGTGGTCGCACTGCATGTTTTTAAATGACTAAAACTAACACGCTCTTAAGAGTCGATACGTGAATAACTGAAGCCCGCGAGTACGACTCATTGGAAAGACGTTTTGCCATTATTTTCGCGGCACATATGTAATGCATTACATTCAATACAGACTCTGAATTCACATTCAAAACTCAGATGAAACAGTGGTTTAGTTTA